GCCAGCGGAAATTAAGCTACAAATCTATGGGGTGTGCATCATGAGTGCTGTAGACTATGGGTCAATTGTTTACGACAGTTTGTTTACGTCTTTCTATTCTAGGCTAGCTTCTGCGCACAGGCTAACAGCATGTATGATTTTGTGTGATTTTCATTTAAGAGTGATGATCTTCTCCGTAAACTAAAGCTGCTCGAACTTGTCTCCGGTAGACGCTACTTTCGCCTTCTACACTTTTATGAAGTGTTATTTGACATCTCTCCTCCATGTAAAGTTTGTATCATTTCCATGCGTCACACGAGAGCCAGTCTTCGACTAAACCAAAATCCTTTTGCGGTGCTTGTTCCTTTAACATCAAAGAAAAGTGTACAGGAATCATTCTTCTATCTAACAGCGGACGAGTGAAACAAACTTCCGCTGCACGACATTAGCAGTCCTGATCCTGCTAACTCTTCCAATGCTATTGTTGTGTCTTTATCAGTCTTTAAAGCTCGCCTACTCACTCAACTCTGTGCCCAAATGTAAATGTTTTACTGTTCTGTTGGATGTCCTAAACAGTTCTTCTAACTTTATTTGCTGTTTATTGTACCTTATTTTTTTTTTGTGCGTTCATATTTAGAAAGATTTTTGGGACCAGTATTTACAAGCCAGGGGCTTTCCTGTGTCCCTGCTTTGATTTAAGCTAAATAAATAAAGCTGTAACTGTAACTGTAAACTGTGGTTATAACAGCGAAAAAAGATCCCATAGGATGTGCTGACCTGTGTGTTAGTGAAGGACTGGTCAAAAACTTAACTAGCTCTTTTTTCTCTAACTAGTCATGGCACTAGAGACTTTTAAGACTGTTCACTAGAGATCTGCACGGGTGCCCGTACAAATCTCTACTATTCACAGATGGAGTCACCGAAACATTTTCGTCTGCTTGATTATCATATTCCATACAAAATGCACTTGTTCATTGTATGTTTTCTTTATTAGGCATATTAAGACTTGAAGGCATATTTGAATTTGAAAAACATATCTTTCTTGTTACCGAACGTCTTCAAAAGGATATGTTAAATTTTATAATATCAAACCGAAATCCAAAAGGAAGACTAGATGAAGATACAACAAAATTTTTAGCATTTCAATTAGTATCAGCCATACGCTATTTACATGGCTATGATATAGCGTAAGGTTTATGAGCATTATTGATAACCGTTAAATTCAACTTTTTGATATGAATTTGCTTTTATTTATTTCAGTCATTGTGACTTAAAACCTGATAATGTTTTACTCAACATTTATAATGATATTGTTCATTTAAAAGTGTGTGATTTTGGTCACGCTCGAACCATACGTGAGAACTCGATAAGACGCACAAAAGTTGGTACACCTGCTTATTTAGCACCGGAAGTTAGTCATGATGGATTTCGACAAATGCATGGTTATAATAAAACTGTTGAGTATGTATACAAGAAGCCTAAAGTTATCTACATTCTCGTTTTTGGTCTTGTTGAAAATAGGTGGAGAGGCGTGGATCACTGTCTGATAGGGCTAGACCTTTTTCCACTAGAGACAGATATTCAAAAAAGGAAATTTAGATTTTTCTGACATGTTCGTCTAGAAAATATCTAAAAATTCCAGTTTGTATTGAGTCACACTGGGATCTTTCGATGAGTAGTTTGATGGGGTCGATACTTTTATCTTTAGACTCTATCTTAGCTTCTAAATTTTCATTTGTCGTGAAAAATATTCGAAAACGGCTGAAAACACATACATGAATTGAATTAGATAAAAACCATAAGAAAACGTTGAGAGTTTCAAAAGATTTTCCGCATTTTTTGAATATCTCGAAACAGTATATTTTTGGAAAAAATTACAAGCTAAGATAAGATCTAAAAAAACGTTTAGACGCCATCAGACCATTTATCGAGAGATCCTACTGTAACTCAATACAAACTGCAGTTTTCATATAATTCCAGAAGAACATGTCAGAAAATTCTAGTCAAAAGTATACATCAGTTTCCTTTTTAGAATATCTATCTCTAGTGGAGAAAAGTCCATTCCTGTTAGATAATGACCCTCTTCTACCCTTCATTTTTCAACACGATTAAAAGAGAGAAGAAGGTGCTCTTAAAACGTCTCTATGAACTGAATATAATATCCATTTTTCTCTCTTTTAGTATGTGGGCTATTGGAGTGGTTATATTTGTTAGTCTAACAGGCTATTTTCCATTTCACGAAGATGAAGAAAGTGAGATCTAATGATCTTTTCGGAACATAGCAATGTAACTGAAAGTCATTTTTATCCACATTCTAGTTGTTGATCAATTACAGAATATACCAAAGTTATTTCAAGATGGAATACTGACTAAAGTATCCAATGACGTTAAAGACCTATTGCAATATCGCTTATTAGTACCACACGCCGGTCATCGAATGCTAAGTTCCGGTGTTATCTATCATGATTGGTTTCAAAGTAATGCTTTAGTTACATCATGTGCAAAGTTGGAAGAATGTTTAAAAAAGAAATGGTTAACACCATTTTTTGAGACAAACTACGAAAACAACTATGACGAAATAAATCGACTCATATGAATTTTTAACACTACTTTCTGACTTTATTCAGTCTTCTGCTAAAAATATAATGTTCTTTCTTACTAAATGCAGTACATGTTTTTATAATGCGTCCTTTTTCGTACGTAAAATTTATTGATTTTTATTTTTATAGATACAATCACAGCATCCACGAGTCCCGCTGGAACATCGCTTTGCTTAGTTGATCAACAACAATACTGCCTTCTCTAAAGTATAACTGTTTAAAATGTATTGAAAGATAAAGTAAAAGTCACTCAAACCAAACTTGAATCTTCACGACAAGAAAAAGCACGCACTACGAAACGTCTACACAAAAGCATACTAAAAAAAGACTCGATAACAATGAGTCCACAAAAATTCATCCAAACAGAAGCGCTAAGTGATAAGCATAGCACTTAAGTGCGTACTGTATAGATGAATCGTTCCACTGCACTAGCTTATCTTAGAAACGAGTGATTTCTTGCGATAGTGGATCGACTCAGTAGGTCAGATGTGTTTCCAAAGTACAGTGCAGTCACACGTGAGCCAAATATTAATTGGAAATCTTTTGCAATTTTATTTTTTCGTGTGACTAAAAGCGTAAGAAAAAAATCGTTCACAAAAAAGCGTCCAGAAAAACAGCACTCCAAGATGTCATATCTTGGGCAAAAACCGTCCACTGTAAAAGCGTCAACTTTTAGATGCTTTTACCGTGTCTTCGAGTGAATAATACTCATTATTGTAAACACCAGCGTGAAACTACTGGAAAGAAGCGATGAAAAATGCTTTTCAAGAGGAGTTTTTTAAGAACATCTTGATGCTTCAGGCAGAGGTAATCTCCAGATTCCAGATTTAGGCATAGAACATTGACCAATGCTGATTCACCTTTTTCGTCGTCATCCAGTCACAGCGGACCTAAACGATTTAACGCTTGTTTAACACATTTTGAAGCTATTTTTAGTGAAAATCAATTTCTTTCTTCAAAGGAGTGAACTGACAACGTTTATATTCTCGAGAGTTATTAATTCTACTGTTTGACGTTTCAAACTAAAGGAATTTCGGAATAACATTTTTGCTATTACATAATTTTAAAAATATAAAGTCGCATTGCTATAAAGTCAAAATTGCTAGATACATTCTTCTTCATAGTTTTGATAATGTTAAAACTTCCGTGTCCAAATTGCTGCTTGAGGAAATTAAATCTGCTTTTGAGCGTTTATTACATTTGATCGTGTTTGAACTTCCTGATAGATGGAAATATGTTTTGATCGTTTGCAAATCTGAGTTTTACATCTGCTTACTTTTTCTCTCGCTACAGCATTAGTCAACCATGATTAGCTTGCTACCACTACGGATGGATGCCTCGACAACTTTTACTTTTCTGAAGCGCTAGAAGAATGTGTGCTGGTATTAATCACATAGTAGCAATGGTAGAAAACGTTTATTTCCGAACCATCACATTAAAAGTATCACAATTTTGAACTAATTATTTTTCATACTTCGTCGGTATGAAAAATATACGTCGCTTGTTATATAGTTAAATACATGTTTGCTATTAACAGATGTCACGGTATTTATATGGAAGAAAGTTTCTTCTCTATGAAACTTCATTAACTGACAGACATGAAAGTTTTTGGTGAACACATAATGAGCGTTATGAATGAAGTTGTTCCGATAATGAAAAATTTGAGAATATATGACGATTGTTATTAAGCAAATGAATGCCTGTTAGAAAATTCGAGATAGAGAATTGTTTATTGCGAGATAAGTGTAGGCAAAGTCATTTCAACGATACCCGATGTTCATGGTGTGATTATTTTTAATAAATATTTGTAATTTATATTTGCGAATAAACTAACCATTGTAATTGTTGATAGACAAAGCCTTCTGTTCGTACTATGAAAATTAAAAGTGGCACAGTCTTCACTCTTTATCAGAAAAAAAATATTATTTTTATTAAGTGTTCACATAATAAAGAGTAAATGTACTTTTGATCACCAAACGCTTTTAGATACAAATGATCACCAAAAAAAAAGATACTTTTGATCACCAAATTTTCCAGCATCACATTTTTATACATATAAACATATAAATTTTAACAAAGACAATATTTTCACAGTTTTATTTACATTTATTTACAAATTTAAAGCTTTG